AAAAAAAAAAAAAAAAAAGAAAAGTTTCTCCAGTCCAATCACCCTGAGGCATGACATTCAGCCAGAATCTGTATACAATGGCTACCCTGGAGCCCACCTGCTCAGCTGAGGGCTGAAAGCCACTAGTAGCTACCAGGGCTTATCTGACATAGGACCTTTCTCCTACTTGTGTTCCCGTGGGACAGCACCCTCCACCCCCCGACTTGGGCACTGAGGTTGTATGTGGTTTACATCAGGGACACAGGGCTAAGAGGCTGACTTGACTAGCCCTGCCACCAGGGTCTAGAGCTGAAAAGATGGAGGAACCGAGGTAGAAACTTGGAACTTTTATTAAATAGTCATTCACCCATTTGTTGCCACCACCACCCAGAGCAGGAAAAAAAAATTATCAAAATGGATTTAAAAAACAATTAAACCCAAACCCCTGCAATCTCTGTACAGGGCTGCTCCCTGCCTCTCTGCCACAGAGAGGTTGGGAGGCAGTTGGGGGGAGGTGGGGGCTGGGTACCTTTTCTCCAGCCATAGGCCCCTGAGGAATTAATTCTGACTATGGTGGCAGAAGCCCCTGTGCCAGGTTGCCAGGCATCTTGGCTGGCCTCAAGGGAAATGGTTATTGCTGGGAGGGCAGGGCTGGGCCTGCTTTGCTCCCACTGGGCTGAAGAGCTGCCTGCCCTCTCTCCTGGTGGGCAATGACCAGTCAGGGTGGAGGGCCAGTCCCCACAGCAACCCAAATCTCCACCTGAGAAGGGGAGAAGACTGAGGGGAGGAAGAGTGTTCTCTAGGAGTGGGTGCCCCACTGATTTTGAGGGGAGGGTATCCCAGTACAGCCTGGTGATCAGGCTCGTTCTCCTCAGCTCCTGAGGATGACGTGCTTCTCTGACTTCAGTTGCCTGGCCTTCCTCTTGGGTGGGGCCCTCATCAGTGAGGTCATTTTCCTGCTGTCTTCTCATCTCAGAGACCTATGTGGCCACATTCCATGTGTGCCAGCCACAGCCTGGGCCCTTGGATGCAAGAATGCCTGTGTGGCATTGTGTAGCATGACACCTCTTCTAACATGGTGTAAGTTCTAGCCCTCTTGGGCTCAGCAGCCACTCTCCGACACTGCTGTCTCCAGAGTCATAGCCCCTTGATGCATGGCAGCGGTAGCCACACTGATGGCTTCCTCTAAGGTCTGCTGCTCCTCCAGCTGTGGAGAAGAAATGTAGAAGGAAGGAGAGAGTAAGACCCTTCCTCATAGGTTCAAGTTTAGTAATGTGTATGGCCTACTTGTTTTAATGTCCTCTATCCCTCCACATGCTGAGTACTTAGCAGGGCTCTAATAAACAGAAAGTTTACTGACAGGGTAAATTTAGTAGGCATGGCCAGGGAGCCATGGAATAGGTTGGTGTCAAGAGAGACCTGTTTGCTCACAGAAGAATGATTGACTAGAGTGACCCTTACTGATCGCCTACTTCAGCCTCCTTATTTTTAAGATGAATAAACAGAGACACAAAGAGATGAAAGGCTTGGACCAAAGGTGGAATGCCACCTCTTCAGAGTTATCCTGAAGGCTGGAAAGGGCTTCACCATTCTGCCTTAAGAGACTGAGACAGATGCATGGATATAGGCAGAAAGCTATGTGTCCTCTGAAATGGGCTCTTTTTTTTTTTGAGACAGGAGCCTCAAGCTTTCCCCCTGGGTAGAGTGCCATGGCATCACAGCTCATAGCAACCTCCAACCCCTGGCTCAAGCGAGTCTCCTGCCTCCGCCTCCTGAGTAGCTGGGACTACAGGTGCCCACCACAACACCTGGCTATTTTTTGGTTGCAACTGTCATTGTTGTTTGGCAGGCTCAGGCTGGATTTGAAACCACCAGCTCTGGTATATGTGGCTGGCACCTTAGCTACTTTAGCCACAGGTGCTGAGCCAGAAATGGGCTCTTTCTCAGCCAGGTACCCTTCCTCAAGATCTCCAATTAATTCCCTTCTCCCCCTTGTTTCCTTCTCTGGACGTAGGATACACTTTCTTCCAGACCTCTACCCACCTGTACTGCAATGTGTGTTCCATTGGCTGTGGCCAACAGTGCCACCTGTTGATGATGAAGGGATGCTACACTTGAGTCCTCAGTCACCACAGCCCCAGAGGTAATGATTGTGACCTAAAAAATAGGAGAATGAAGGCTTTCAACCCACCTGCAGTACTCTCCCTCCTCCCAATAAAAATGCCTCCAAGTAAGGTGGCTGGGAACTACCCAGAAGGGAATGGATAAAACCATATGGGTCAGATTAATTAGCTTGGGGCTCAGAGCTAAGTAAAGTTTGGTTTTTCTCTCAGACCTCAATTTAATTTAGGGATTTTTATTAACAGAAGGTCAGAGCTATTAAAAAAAACCCAGAGATAATTAAATCCTCTCATTTTTCCAAATCCAGGGAAAAGTGACTTGCCTAAGATCACAAAGCAAATTAGGGGTAGACTGAGATTTAGAAAGTGTCTCTTAACTTCCAGTCAAATGCTTTAATACCGTGTTTCCCTGAAAATAAGACCTACCCAAAAAATAAGCCCTAGCAGGATTTCTATGCATTTATTAATTATAAGCCCTACCCCAATAGTAAGACCTAGTGATGGGCATGGCTATGCAGCGTATGCACGCCATGCATTTCAGCACAGAGCCGAAACGAAGACTGGAATACCTTTTATCTGCCACAGCTCCTTTCTCTGAGCCATTCGCACTTACGCGGGTGTGCGTGTTGTAACTGCGGTAGCAGGCATCCTATTGCGCACATGCGAATGGCTAGGCGAAAGAAGTTCACGCATCACTAGCGCCAACCCCACCAACAAGGTCAGCTCCCCCTGTCAGGTTCCAGAAGAAGATGACTTAACTGTATTTGAATAAATGTAGATTGTTGTATTATACTTAATAAAAATAAGATATCCTGGGTGGCTCCTGTGGCTCAAAGGAGTAGGGCGTCAGCCCCATATGCCAGAAGTGGTGGCTTCAAACCCAGTGCCCAGCCAAAAAAAACTGCAAAAAAAAAAAAAAGAAAAAAAAGAAAATCCCCTGAAATAAGTCCCGGTGTGCCTTCTTGAGAAAAAAATAAATATAAGACAGTGTCTTATTTTCGGGAAATGCGGTAACAGTCCAGAGAGGATGTGGTGAATATCCTCTTTTTGTGGGGGAATTTGTCCTTGTAAGAAGGCTTGACTAGTTTAACTGGCACTTTAGTGACCACCCTCTGAAAAGGAATGACAAGAGAACAAGAAACCCCAAGCAAACTGCCTGGTCATACGGGCTGCGTCTGGGTGCCATCAGCGCTGACCATGGTGACCGTATGTGTGCCAGATGTAGCCAGGTCATCATCATGATTAGGGATGGTGAGGGTAGTGCTGCTATGCTGGGTCACCATACTGATGGCACTCCCCAGGGCTTGCAGGTCTTCTGGGGAGAGGCTCACCTACAAACAGAAGGGGAGAAGAGCTGGGAATGTCAGTGGAGGGCTGTAGCCCCTAAGGAGGATGTGTCCGCTTTCCTGCACATGGTTGGCTTATTGGTAAGTCAGAAGTATCCTAAGAGTGGAAGGGGTAGGGGAACAAGCAAAAAAAGGGTCCAAGGTTGCTAAGAGTGGCTACACTAGAAGAATTCCACAGACTACTTTACTGTAATTGGCCCTGTTGTATGCCATTCTGGGTCTGCACCTAATGTCATCCTCAACACAACTCTAGAAGGCACAGGTTCATTTCACAGTGAGGCTGCTGATGAGTCAAGTTATACAGCTGGCCAGAACACTGGTGCTAAGGCTGCTAAATCCCACTCCATGCTCTAGCTCCTATACTGGCATGCCTCTCCTCTCTTGAGAAGGACATCCAAGTATCTAATCAGATGATCAGGACATATAAGCCCCCAAGTAAAGAGAGAAACTACTGCGCCCCAGAAGTCCCCTGAGCAAAAATCATGAAGAGAAGGAGGGGCTGCTCTTAAAAATGTGGTCCCCTTAGGCTCAGCTCTCTGAGGTCCATAAAGCTATAACAAGAAGCTGGATGGAGGTGGGGCTGTCAGAACTTCAGGGTCCCTCAGAGCTCTCAAGAGTAGAGAGGGTGTCAGTTAGAGTGGCCAGCCCCACCCCTGCCCTCCAGGGCCTGTACCTGCTGGGCACCATCCTGAGTGATCAGAGCCACCTGGGGGGACCCATCCTCCTCGGTCACCATGGCCACTTGGGCTGGGATGTCATCACCCTCTTTCTTCACCTCCGAAAGGTAAGCAATGCGGGATTGTTTGGGTGGCGGGCTCTCCTCGGCGGCAGAAGCAGCTGGGAGAGGAGAGCCCAGGCTGACACCTGCCACTGGATGCCAAGGGGAGGCCTGGCTTGTCCCCACTCTTAGCCCCATCCACTTCCCTCACCTTCAAGCTGCTGCTGCTCATAGAGGGCTTGCTCACTCTCCTCTGTGGCCTCCAGCTCGCCGTGGGCGCTGCGCTTGTGCATGGCCAAGGTGGAGGTCTGCCGGTAAGTCTTGCCACAGGTACTGCAGGTATAGGGCTTGCAGTGCGTGTGCACCACGTGGTGCTTGTATAGGCTTGAGTATTCGGTGAAGCGCTTCCCACAGCCTGGCACCGTGCAAACGTATGGCTTCTCCCCTGGGGACACTGGGCTGTGAGGGGGTGGGAACTGGGGCTGGCAAGGGGGAAACTAAGGGGATAGGGGTGGTTGACAGGGCTGGTAAAGGGTGAGCCAGAAGGCAGCAGGGGCACTATAACCTGAGACTCTGAATGGACAGAGTTGGGGGAGATGGCTAGTGGAACACAGCACACAGGTGTGGAACCACTGATCTCAGAGACAAAGTGGAGAGAAAAGGGAAATGGGGCAAGGCTGGGGCTAGTGAAGTGGTTGGTGGGGGCACTGGGGGCTTGCAAAGCTGAGGAGCAGAGCATTGAGAGTGGAGAATAGAAGAGGCCGGAGACAGGGATCATGAGGTGTCAGGTGTGATGAAAGAGAGGGGACATGTACAGTTAAGAGAACACAGAAGGCTGATGAGGGACATAGCACTAGGGAGGGTGAGGATACAAAGGAGTCAAGTGGGCAGGGGATGAGGTGAGGAGCTGGAGGTAGCACTTCATTCTGTTTCTTCCCCATTATTACTGTCCCTGGCCTCTGCTCCAGAGCTTAGCTGGACTGGAAGGATTCAGGGTGAGTACAGAAAGATGGTAATGAGCTGAGAGACCCCAGAGAGGGCTAGCAACCTGTCAGATTGGACCTAACTGGAAATGGAGAAAAAGCTCACTGCAAGTGAAATGGTGATTCTAGAGATAGCCACTCCCAAACCAGCCTGGAATTGATTGACAGATAAGAACTCTGGGCTGGGAGATGAGAATGTATCTTAGATCAGAAGCCTATAGAGGGGCTGGGGCATCAAGGGATGGTCCTCGCATGCCAGCTGGCCCACCTGTGTGGATGCGAACGTGATTCTTGTAGTTGGTGGCACTGGTAAAGCCACGGCCACAGTGGGGCTCCGGACAGGTGTAGGGCCGCTCGCCTGTGTGGGTGCGCACGTGTACCTTGCGGATATTAGATGTGGTGAAGGAGCGGCCACAGCCCTCAAAGGGGCACCGGAACGGGCGTTCACCTGTGCAAATGTAAGGTGTGTGAGGCGTGGCTTGGGAAGGGTGGCCATGCTGGATGGCACTGGGCTCCAGATGTAAGCCTGAAAAGTGAGTTGAATCCTGTTTGCCCAGGGAATGGGGTGAGGGTGGGCAGGGCCCAGCATACCGGTGTGGGTACGGACGTGCTTCTGCAGGTCTCCTGAAGTCTTGAAGGCCTTGCTGCACAGCTCCTCTGTGCATTTGTACGGCTTCTCACCAGTGTGGGTGCGGACGTGGCTCTTCAGCCCATAGCCTGCGTGCACGTTGCAGAAAGGGGTTAGAAGAGTATCCAGTGGGGCCTTGTCCTCCACTGTCCACCTCACGTAGTGGCCTCTCCATCTTAAGGTGTGCTCTGTGAGGCTCCAGAGCGCTTTTGGCTCACAAAGTCTATCTCTGTCTCTATACTGCCAAGAAAAAGCCCAGTTTGCCCTTCTTCCCTCTTTAGGGGCAGCTGGAGCCATTCCAAAACATGAGCATGAGAGGAAACAAAGAACTGGTGGATGAAGGTCCTTATTTCACAGAGGGGAAAACAAGCCCAGAGAGATGCAATAGCCCATCGTAGGTTGGTGTCAGAGCTAACACAAGAGGCAGGGTCTCTCCACCAGTCCTCTGGGGCTCCTTCTGTTGGTCTGGACCATGCTATCTTTCATTTCTGCAGCAGGATTTCCTCCAGAGAGAGCACTCTGGTGATAATTCCTCCAGGAAGGCAGCCTGGTGTTGGGTTTCCTTCAGGGAGATCCCACAGTCGATCTAGAACCCTTTGCCCTCAACTGAAAGTAGTTTATCTTTGGTCTACATTCAGGTAAGTTACCTGTGGCAAAGGCCTTTCCACAGCTGGGGAAGTCACACCTGTATGGACGGTCACCTGTGTGAGCTCGTTCATGCACCTGTGAGGACAAGCAATCATACAATTCAGAGAAACAAGGCTATCACCTGTTGTCTCTGGTTTTCTTTAGAGCCCTGATCCTCTTCCCTCCTGTACCCGTCACATGTGAGATTTCTGTTCACTCATCTCTTCCCTATAGCAACTTGAGTGCAGAGACCAGTTCTCAAAGTAGAAAGGCAGAATTATGGTCTGGAAGGGAAAATGGCAGAGCTGAAAGCTGTCTGCCAACAACCTTACCTTTAAATGATGAGCAGTGGTATAGAGACGCCCACAGCCCTTGTAGCCACAGCGAAATGCTCTGTCTCCAACTTGTTGCCCTTTGCCATTATGGGGAGTCTGGTCATGCAGAACCTGGAAAAATAATGTTGGGGTCCCTATATGTATTCTCCCCAGTGATGAAAGGGGAGGGATGAGATGCAGGACCCAGCTGCCAACTTATGACTTGATAAACAAGGTTAAGCCTACCAGGGGCCTCTGTGGCAGAACATAGGTAGATAGGAGATAGAAGATAGATGTGGGCTTGGCGCCTATAGCTCAACCAGCTAAGGCGCCAGCCACGTACACCTAAGGTGGCGGGTTCGAATCCCCAGCCCGGACCCGCCAAACAACAATGATGGCTGCAACCAAAAAATAGCCGGGCGTTGTGGCGGGCGCCTGTGGTCCCAGCTACTTGGGAGGCTGAGGCAGGAGACTCGCTTGAGCCCAGGAGTTGGAGGTTGCTGTGAGCTGTAATGCCATGGCACTCTGCCCAGGGGGACAGCTTGAGGCTCTGTCTCAAAAAAAAAAAAAAAGAAGATAGATGTGGGCCAGGCTTCAAAAAGAACAAGGCTTCATGTGGCATTACCACCCATCTCTGAAGGTCAGAGGGAAGACCAAAGTTCATAGGGACTATGGCAACTATGGAAGAAAAGATATTGTCTAGACAGCTAGGTAGGATGGGGAAAGATGTTGTCTGAAAGGCCATGCTTGAGTTGGGCTGAGTGCCAGAAACCCTCCTTTTAACCATACACACCTAGGAGGCTGCAACTCTTGATCCCTCCATCCTCTGACAGGAGGGGCACTAATAAAGGGACTTGCTGTGGGGATAAGCTGATCTGGCAGGGCACAAGGGCCAGGGTGAAGTGGGCACAATGAGAAATCACCCAGGTAAGGGGCTGCAGTCCTCACTAGAAGTCTGTTCTAAGGACAGCACTCTGGCTTGGTGCCCATAGCTCAGTGGTTAGGGCACCAGCCACATACACCAGGGCTGGTGGGTTTGAACCCAGCCTGGGCTTGCTAAAAACAATGACAACTGCAACAAAAAAATAGCCGGGTGTTGTGGCAGGCACCTATAGTCCCAGCTACTTGGGAGGATGAGGCAAGAGAACAGCTTAAGCCCAAGAATTTGAGGTTGCTGTGAGCTGTGACGCCATGGCACTCTCCAAGAGGCGACATAGTGAGGCTGTCTCTAAAAAGGACAGCACTCAGCTCTTGCTCCCTGGCTACCCGAGGATCATGAACGACACAGTAACTATCCAGACCCGGAAGTTCATGACCAACTAACTACTTTAGAGGAAACAAATGATCATTGATGTCCTTCACCCTGGGAAGGCAACAGTACCAAAGACAGAAATTAGAGAAAAACTAGCCAAAATGTACAAGACCACATCCAATGTCATCTTCGTAGCTGGATTCATAACTCACTTTGGTGGTGGGAAGACAAAAGGATTTGGCATGATTTACGATTCTTTGGATTATGCAAAGAAAAATGAACCCAAACATAGACTTGCAAGGCATGGCCTGTATGAGAAGAAAAAGACATC